TCCTTATCGTAAATTAGAAGACGATACACACATTTTTATAGAAACTTAATATTGTACATTTGAAAAGTTCAGGTTCAATTATAGAACAAAATATAGCCATTTTAACAGTTTATGGGTTTAAATAAAACAAAAGAACTTCAAACTTTATATTCGGTGAACCGTAAAGCAATGGGTAACCGGAACCATTATTTTTAAAAATATAAAACGAGGCATTTAGTTATAAATTGGCATCAAAAATGCCAAATTTTTAGGTTGCTTTCATGTTTGTAACACGATAAATATAATTACATAAACCTTAACTTGACGAGCATTATATCTTCACATAGCTGATAGCTACACACGGGTAACTGTTCAATGTAATAGTTTTTCCCGGTTAGAATTTTATGAAATTCAAAAATTGAGTCAAAGTACTTGCATGTAACGAGTTTAGAAGTAGCATGTAAAGAAAGTCGGCAGATCTTAAGTAGCGGTCAATTTTGCCAAAAAGATACGATCGAGTATTGAACTCACTCTACCAGGTGACAATTCAGCATTACGCCTAGATAGCTTTTTAGTATTTCCTTTTTTTACTACACTTTGTTCATTCCTTGCCTTCAGATATCACATATTTATTCAAACAAATCCGTAAAAGCCCCCCCCGCCCCCCCAGCCCCCACCCCCCTTCCTTCCCTCGGGACAAGTTTGGGCGAGCTCGAATTCTTGTTTCAGGTTTACAAAACCCATAAGGACCATTTAAAAATTTAGCATTTATTTTCACGTTTGTTTTTATAAATTTAAAATTATTTTGTAGCCATTTTCAAAATGGCAGCGAAAACACAGGAGACGTCAAATTTAAAAACAAATGTTAACATTCAAAGAATGCATTTCTTGTGACAACTCAGTGGATGTACAGGTGTGAACTGTTTCAAATATAGGTTCAATGCTTACTTTCAGATGGGTATCATGACGAACAAGTATCCTAATCTTCGATTTGGCGTGGCCTTATTTGGGCTGGAGTTTGAAGACAGCGAGAACATATGTTCCAAATCACCGCGTTTGAACGACACTGTTGTATTTTGGCGCGCAAATGATCTGTCTGTGTACGTGAAGACTAATATCAGAGGCGACAACTTACATTAAAACAGCACATCCTGAAAAAATGTGTCTCAAACAACAATAAAAAATGTGGCGGCAAATATTACGTGTGAATTTCTTTGCTTCAAACTCTGCCATCATTAGACAACCTTCTCAGTCATTAGGTACCGAATTTTATCCTCTCACATACAGTATACTACAGTTTCTTTCTTTGGAAGGGGGACTAAAAATACCATACACTAGAGATTTTCATTTTTCTAAATCATAACCAAAGGAGGCGAAATCTTTCGCACCTTCTCTTATTCTTCTCCTGATAAAAGAAGCCTCCTGAATAGAAAAAGAAAACGCTCCGGCTTCAGTACTCACCACAAACGCATCTCAGGCCTGCTGCAAGCAGACGAGCGATATCATTCCGGTTTGCCTCAAATTTCCTTATTGACAAGAACAAGATTGTTCTTACATTCCTTCGGAGTGACGTCATACAGCCCATTGTGTAGGCTATCGTCTTCCTAAGAACGCTCGCGCCAAGACACTCTTCCGCGCCTACCTTTTTTTTTTTTTTTCCACTTTAAAAAGTTCTTGTGTTAAAAGCGGTCCGGGGAACGGCGTTCACGTGCACAAGCACCGGAACAATGTGAAGCTCGTCTTGAATACGGTTGCTGTGTTCGTCGTGTGGTGTAGAGGACGCATCGGATGTCGGATGGATCGGCGATTACACTCGATCCGTCATCGGAAGTAGGGGTCGCGTCTGGGCTTTTTGAGCACTGTGCGGGAATGAATCAACGAGGTAGGGGGGCTTAGAGCGATAAACTGGGCTCTGGTCCGCACTCGAAAGTGACACCCATAAGTCCGCTGCCATTGTACGCAAATTTGAGCACTCGTCACGCTACCGAACCAAATACGTGACGTCACAGGAAAGATGGCAGCGCCGAGGCAACGGCTGGCCCCAGCTAAGCCGGAGCATTGGTTGGAACTTGTCGGATGCTTTGTTTGTTGTCGTTCGTCTCGGCGAGTTGATTTCAGGCACAGAAGCCGTCATATGGGGCCGGTCGAAAGCGAGTTCATAGTTCAACGTCGGTATAACGTGAAAATACGGAGGAACGGTGTGCATTTAGCTGGTGACCGACGGAGATATTGCCACAGAAGAGACAATCTGCCCTACGTTCCCCGGACCTCGGATTGGTTCAGTTACCACTAGGATAAAATTTAAAGCGATGTTTTTGTGCTCTCTTTGACAATCGGAATTTTCGATGTCTGCAGTGAAGCGTGTGCAATATATTCGGGTACACAGTTTAGCGACGGACATTGCGTGAGTCGTGCTTGGCAGTGTGCAATCGTGGTGCCGCTTCGTGCAAATGACAGAAGGCCCAGTTTGGTTGTGCGGCGCACCGAAGAGCTGCTTTCAAGCTGGTAGTTCCTGTTCATTGCTTTAGGTGACGCTGTGCTGCTTCCTAAATTATTCTGGCGTAGACGTGCACTTTCACGGAGCACGGGTGTTGCAGTTGGTATTGACTCCGCTCGTCTGACGCACGTTTCGTCGACGGAAAAGTTCCATCAACACTTGTTACCTGAATCGCAAGCTGTATGGACATTTCATTGTGCGTGTTACCTACCCAATTTACCTGTTCACGCCGCTTGGCGACCAGAGTCTGCAGCGGCTCATTACCAGACAAGTGGTCCCACATCCATTTCTGTTCAGTTCGTCCACGGCAGTCGCCAACCCCAGAAGGAGAGGATTTATTCGGACAGGATGCCACTAAAGCCATCCAGCTTCTTTAGTGGTCACGATGTTTTCTTCTGTCCGTTTTGGTATATTGTCACCGATGCTTGCTCCTACTTGCTCAATTCCTGTCTTCTATCAATATTCACTATTCTGAAGTGTTCCAGGCCATGCTTAGCTGTCATCGTATGTTCTGGTGGACGTGCTGGGCACTTTACCGCTAGCCCTTCACCCTGTGTGCACCCTGGCGGCTCCTCAGCCAAGTTGCCCGATAAAGGGGCACGGGTGGCGGACTATCCCGCGTCTTAAACACCCGACGAGCCGTGAACCAAATTCTATCCCGAGCCCGGCAGAAAAACCGCAAGATGAGCGAGTATCACTAGGACAAACTTCGGAAATACACCACGGAAAAGCTGAAATCCGAGTTAGTCGCTGCTACCAGCAAGAACCACCGGAATTCCACCTTTTGCCAGAAAAACCGAAGCTAACCAAGCCAACAATGACAAACCTGTAGCAGCAAACGGCGTCCGCTCCTACCATTGTTTGCATGCCCGTCGCACCTCACACTACGACGCCCTTTCACGCAAGGTGTATGAAGACGTCGAGGGCTGGATTGACCGATTATACTGTGTCGCCCGCCACAGTGGCTGGACAGACAACCATCTCCTGCCGAACCTATACTTCTTGTGGAATTCTTAAAGATCTATCAGTGAGACGGTGGACTTTGGCATCAAAAGGTCTATGTGACCGTTGGGTTTAATGGTAAAAAGAACAACACCCTCATCTTCCTCTTTCTAAAGTCTCGATCAGTACTTCAATTCCTCGTGCCTTCTTCTTTCTTCTCTTCGACTTCCTCAACATCCTCCCGAGCAAGCAAAGCTGAATGGATTTCAAGTAGATGCAGCTTTTGAACTGGTCTTCGATAAACGTTTCCATCTTTGTCTCTGACGAGACATGCTCTGACGCACCCATCCGTTCCAGCGTAGACTTCTGTAACTCGGGCGAGCTTCCAAAAATATCTTGGACATTTTTTGTCCTCTAACAGGACTACGTCATCAACTTTCAACGAAGCAGTCTTGACATTTGGGTACTGATGAGCCGATCGCAGTTGCACGATATACTCTTTACTCCACCGATTCCAAAAGTGGTCTATAATCAGTTGTCTATACCTCAGCCTCCGAGTGGATTCCCTGTGAGTCATGGTCTTGGGAAGCTGAGAGTATGAGCCGACTTCCGGAAGAACAATGAGGCTTTGTCCAATCAGAAAATGAGCTGGACTGACAGGTGTCGGCTCCTTGAGGTCGGAGTAAACGTATGTTAATGGTCGGGAATTAATAATGGCTTCTGCTTCTACAAGCACCGTTGCTAGCTCTTCAAACTTGAGACTGCTTCTTCCCAAAACTTTCCTTAAAACTACCTTTACTGAGCGAACTAACCTCTCCCACCATCCTCCCCACCAGGGAGCGCTTTCAACAATAAATTTCCATCTAATTCTTCATTCAGCGAGGTATGACGATAAGTCCGGATGACTCAGGGAGTTCCAAATTACCCTTAGGTCAGCCGACGCCCTCTTGAAGGAAGTAGCATTGTCCGAGTATAATGTACTTGGTATTCCTCTTCGGGAAATGAACCTTCGAAATGCGAGAAGAAACGCTTCCGTGGAGAGGTCGCTCGAGAGCTCCAGATGGACAGCTCTTGTTGTCGCGCACGTAAACAAGACAATATACGCCTTAGAGCTGCTAGTTCCTGCACTCGCTGCCTTCGCATATAAAGGTCCTGCGAAGTCAATGCCTGAGATCTCAAACGGCTTTGTAACATTCACTCGTTCCGCTGGAAGGGGAGCGAACGGCACAAGTGTAGGCTTCGTGCGAAACCTCGAACATAGAAGACAGTTTCGGATAGTCTTCTTAATTACCTGTCGTGCTCGAGGTATCCAAAATCGCTGTCGGAGGGTGGCCATGGTGCTAGATACTCCTTCATGGCCGACTTGATAATGAGCATCCATAATAATCAGCTCAGTCAGACGATGATCGTTCGGTAATAAGATCGGCTGTGTCACGGAGCAAGGGGCGTTGAATTGTTGCAGCCGTCCCGTTACCTTGAGCGTATTATCATGGTTCAGAAATGGGTGCAGATCCGAAAGAGGAGAGGCCGGCTCAATATCCTGATTGCTAGAAAGCAACTGAATCTCCCTTGAGAAGGCTTGTCATTCAGCTTGCTTTATCCCATATCGTTCTGCTGCAGCATATTCTACGGCCTCCAATTGGCCGACTTGTCGATTTTCTTTAGAACGGCTGTTACGCGCAAACCTCATCACCCAGGCGGTTATTCTAAGCACCTTCTGATACCCGTTGTACTTCTTTAGATCAAAAAGTGCGGCCGTTTCTTGACCTTCTGTTTGCAGGTACACCTGGGTCGGTTTCAACTCATTTGTTTCGAGCTCATTGAGTTCCCCTAATTGAGGTGGGGGTTCCGGCCAGTCATCTGCTCCAGAAGTGAGCCATTTCGGCCCTTCCCACCACAGACGGCTATCGCGAAGAATCGATGGAGATTCTCCTCTTGTCAGCAGGTCTGCTGGGTTAGTCTCTCCCGGGCAATGTCTCCATTTCTCTGGCACGCACTTAGTTTGAATTTCTAGAACGCGGTGTTTGACAAATGGCTTCCACCTGCTCGCCGGACCTCTTATCCAACTTAGCACAACTGTCGAGTCAGTCCACATGATGTATGTTCCTTTAAGCTCTGTGTACGTACAACCTAGGTATTCCAGCAGCCTCGTGCCTATTGTGGCTCCCATGAGCTCCAATCGTGGCAAAGACAATACCTTAAGAGGCGCCACTCTTGACTTTGCGGTAACTAAGGTAGTCCCAACGTGCCCGCTGTTATCTTCGATTCTTAGATAGGCGCATGCTCCACATGCCTGTGTGCTGGCGTCCACGAATATGTGCAACTGGACTTCTTTAAACGGTCTTTTTTGTCCATTCTTAATGTGCCTTGGCACATGTACTGCGTAGATGTTAGGAATGTCTCTGCACCAGTTGGACCATTCGACATATAGTTCCTCAGGTATTTCTTCATCCCAGTTCACTCCCAGTTTCCATAGTTTCTGGAAGAGGAGCTTAGCTCGTATAGTGAAAGGGGCAATGAATCCCATGGGATCAAATATTCTTGATGCAGCTTGCAGAATGAAACGCTTGGTGTCCACTTTTGTCTGAAGGAGCGATGTAAGAGAGTCCACCGAAAACTTGAAACTGTCACTGTCCTTGTCCCAAATCATTCCCAGCACCTTGGAGATTCTAGACAGCTTAAGGTTCCTGTCTGCCGGTACCGCATCTGCTTCCGCTTCGTTCATTATGTGCTGCACGTGCTTGTCGTTGGAGGCCCATTTTCTCAAGTTCATGCCCGCATCCTTCATGATAGAGTTAGACGTCTCGTATAGCGTAATCGCTTCTTCGACCGTGTCGGCACCCATCAAAATGTCATCGACATAAAAAGAGCTCCTCATCTTTTCAGCAATGTTCTTTGTAACAGCCACATTTTTTAGGTGGTGTTGAATTGTCGCAGACAATAGAAAAGGACTGGAGGATACCCCGAAAGGGACTCTGGTCATTTGCCATTCCTGTAAGCTTTCTAAATCAAATGGCCCGGTGTGCTCATTGGCAAACCACAGGAATCTGACCGCATCACGGTCTTTTTGCCTGATTTTCATCTGAAGGAAAGCCTTTTCAATGTCAGCTGTCAAGGCGATCGCATACCATCTGAACCGAAGAAGGATCTGGAGGATGTCTGGATTCAGGTTTGGTCCCTTTTCCAGGCAGTCATTGAGAGACTTGCATCCTTTTGCATGTGACGAAGCGTCGAAGACTACTCGTAGCTTTGTGGTTGTAGACTCCTCCCGGACAACTTCTCGGTGTGGCATGTAATAGATGCGTTTCTTGTTATCACCTTCCAAGTCGGATGGTACCACTTCCGCATGACCTAACTTTATGTACTGACGGATGGTGGTGTCGTACCGATGAAGTAAACCCTCTTTGGATGAAAGTCGTCTGAGAAGCGAACTCAAGCGTGAGACTGCTATGTCTCGATTGTTCTGCAAGGGCTCTGTGCAATCCTCCTTCCAAGGAAACGCTACTTCGTACCGTTGGCCATCTTTGACTATGTTTTCTTCAAAATATGCGCAGAGGCTTAGATTGTCGTCCGCAGCTTCCTTAGCCGAAATTCCCATGGCATCCAGCTCCCAGAAGGCTTTTAGTAATTCGGATGTAATTTCATCCTCTGTCAAAGTTTGGGTGTTCAGTACACATTCCATCAATGTCGATGCGGACGTCAAGATTCCTTTTGGTATAGACGGTCCCTGCAAAGTCCAACCTATTTTCGTGTTGACTGCCACCAGCCCCTCGCTTTCCTTACATCTCACGACCTCTCCTGTGAGGATTTTCCAAACTTGGTCGGATCCAATAAGTAAGCTAATTCCCGGCGTAACTTGCACTTCTGGAACCACTGTGTCATCTGCTAGATTTCTATTTTGCAGGCGTAAGAACTCTACAAAACTGTCCTCAGAAATTTGCGCTGCAATGTCCTGGCAAATAACCGGAATGGTTACCGCTTCGATTAAGCACTCGCTATCGTCAAATTGACTCTTGAGGCGGACCTCCACCACATTGCTATGTTCAAGCTCCTGGCTGGTAGTGCTGCCAAACGCGTTCAGTTTAAGCTTCGTCTTCCGCAGAATCTTGAGATTCAATCGCTGCGCCAAGTCTTCTTGAATAAATGATCGCTGACTGCCTCCGTCCAGAATTCCCCTTATATATCGGCTGGTGTCCTTGTTGATGACCCATGCTTTAAATGTCTGTAGGTGGACTCTATCTCCGATTGTCCGTTGACACGAGCCATCTCTCTTTTCATACGGCTTAGACGAAGACACACAGGCGACTGCTCCTTCTTTTGTTCGTGTGTATGACGGGTCACACATAGTGACGGCATGTTGACCACCGCATGATGAGCAGATCAATCTTTTTCGGCAATCCCTAGCACGATGCCCTTTTGTAGTACACCGGAAGCATCTCCCATCTCTTCCTAACATCTTCTTTTTGTTGTATAGCGTCTCCTGAGCATCGCAAATTTGTGTCTCGTGCTTCTTGGAGTGACAAAAAAGGCATTCCCCTGGCGCTGAAGGTGCCGCACTATGGAGCGCTGATGCCGCCGGCTGGGACTGGTCCTTCGTTTCGTCTGTTTGCTCCTTGCCTCGAGCTGCGGGGTGCCCGCTTCGCTCTCTGCTTTCTACTTCGATGCGGAGGAAACTGAGAATCTCATTGAGATTCGAAGCGGCAGTGGATGTCTCTGATGCGGAACCGTCGCCCTACATCAAATTTGCGTTGCTTGAGAGCTTGTAGCTGACTTGCCGATGATATTGCACGACGATGTCATATGGCATTGCTTTCATCAGAATGTCGCTGAGCATTGCCGCAAAACTTGCAGTTGGAACATCTAGGGCGTTGAGGCAACGTATGTTCAGCTGCGTTGTATCATAAAGCTTGCGAAGACCCCGGGTGTCAACCGAAGATCGAATCTGAGGAAGGTTTCGCAGTGCTGATAGGTGTTCCTGCTCTATTCTTTTGGGATCTCCGAAGCGCTGTTTCAGGAGTTCAATAGCATCTGCGTAGCACCGCTCGGTCGTCGGTAACCCGGCAATTGCCGATGCTGCATCGCCTGCGAGGTAGCGTCGTAAGTAATGGAACTTGTCAGTTGTAGACAATGCCCGACTTGAGTGGATTGTTCCATCAAATTGCTCCCAGAAAGTGCGCCAGTGGCTGATGTCGCCCTTAAAAATGGTTATGTCTAGTTTCGGCAGTCTTGGACCACTCACTGGGGTGATACTTTCAGAAGCGCCTTGTAATGGGGCCGTTGTAGGAGGAACAGGGTTACGTCTGGCGATCTCCAGGTGTTCGATCTTGTATCGCAGCTCTGCGAGAACACTGATGGCGTGGTCTTGGCATTCGGCTGCAGAAGCGTACTCATTTTCCAGCTCCGTCGTTGGAAATAGTGGCTCCAGCTCCTCGTTGATGCGGTCTAGCTCGATGTTGCTGGCAGACAGCCGATCCTTGACCGCGTGGAGCCTGCCTAAGTCTGTCTGTGGATCTTTCAAGATCGTGTTGGCGTCGTTAATCAGCCGCGTGTTCTGGGCTCTTCGGGCTGAACGCTTGGCTTTCAACCGATCCATGGCTATTTGTGAGTTCAGTGGTCAGTTGATGCCGTTTCCAACCTTGTAGATCTCTAAGCCGGAGAGTTTGTCTTCGCGTTGCTTCTCCCGGTCGTAATGCTTCCGTCGTTTGGCTCTTTGTGATCAATAAGATTTCCGTTTCACTTGCCTTCGCAACGTCTTGTTGAGCACGATACGATGACTTGAAGCTCTTTCCCGTGTTTCGGCACCATGTGGAATTCTTAAAGATCTATCAGTGAGACGGTTGACTTTGGCATCAGAAGGTCTATGTGACCGTTGGGTTTAATGGTAAAAAGAACAACACCCTCATCTTCCTCTTTCTAAAGTCTCGATCAGTACTTCAATTCCTCGTGCCTTCTTCTTTCTTCTCTTCGACTTCCTCAACACTTCTCGTGGAAGAAACTGCCAGGCACTGGTTTGTGAACCACGAATCCTCCTTAACGTCGTGGGAGCTTTGGAAGATCGATCTGAAGTACACGTTCATCAGCCGACATTGACGAGAGAGAGCTTCTTGTTCTTTCAAACGTCTTTATTTACAGACCAAATGAATAAGCGCCCTATGCGCTCTGCTGTATGGTCTTTTATCTCGTCGTCTTATGTGTCCCTGGTGTTACCAGTGGCAGAGAGACGTCCGGCGGCGGCAATGATTGGCTCGTATTGCTTGAGCAGCCTGGAGCCGAGTGGGGGCGCCTGCGGGTCTTCTAAATATCGGAGGATTGCCAGGAATGCCGCCAGGACACGACCAGGGTCAGGAGCGGATGGGGGGTTGAGCCACTCAGTAAGAGTGGAGGGGGGAGGTGAGAGGGTTGAGAGCGCGCGAACGCGGGCTGTTGAGTGGAGCGGGCAGTCTCACAAAAGATGGGGGAGACTAGCAGGAATGTGGCAGTGGGTACACTGAGGGTTGATGTGGACCTGGGGATACATCTTTGCAAGCAGGGAGGGAGCGAGGAGCGCTCCTGACCTGGCTTGCTGTAGAAGGGAGGCCTCGTGGCGAGTGAGAGGAAGGTGGGAAAGAGAGGGGAAGTCAAGGGGGTTAGCCTGAGTAGTCAGGTAATGACGCCATCGGCTGGCGTGCTCCTGCCGGGCTTCGTGTGAATTTTGAAAGGAGCCAGGTGTGAGCTCCGGTGGCGTAGGAAAAGTAGGGGCCCCGGCTCCCGCGGAGGGAAGTCTAGCGCGCGCAAGTCGGTGAGCCCTTTCATTGCCGGGAATGCCGCTGTGGGCGGGCACCCAGTCGATGAGGGGATGGTGGCCGGCGCGATGGCAGATGATGGAGATGAGTAGCGGAGAGCACGGATGGCTTCTTGAGAATCTGTATATATTACGATTCTGGAGGAGGGTACCAGGGTGAAAGTGTTAACGGAGGTTAAGCAGTGCAGTATAGCACAAAGTTCAGCGTGACTAGAGGAGCAGGGGGTCATGAAAACTTGTGTACCGCGTCGATGACCGTCGACATTGCACCATGCCGTGCTGAAGATTGGCGTGGAGGTATTGTCCACAGCCGCGTCCGCGTAGAAAACTAGAGCCGATGAAGAGCGAACGAGGAGAGTGTGGAGATGTCGGCGAGCAAACTCGGTGCGGCTGGCTTCCGCTTTTTCACCCATGTTCCGAGGGAGGGGACGGGGTGCTGTGAGAGGGCAGAGCTCCCATGGCGGGGGTGGGATGGGTAAAGGTAGGAGGTGGTCGATGTTGTAACCTAGCTTACGCAGTGTGAAGCGCCCCGCTAGAGTGGCTCGGAGTCGAGTTTCTTGAGTTACGATCTGGGTGGAGGCCAGGTCGTCAAGGCTGTTCATCTGGCTGCAGCTGGTGAGCGCATCGATTCGCGTGTATCTCGGAAGGCCGGTGACAATTCGTTGCAGTTCCCGATTAATTATTTCGAGCCTGAGTTTTTGGGTGCGGGTAAGGTGGTAGTACGGGTAGCCGTACATAATGCGGGACACCGCGAAGGCTCTAGCAAAGATACGGAGATCATGTTCGTGCACACCGCGCGAGCGGTGGGCTACCCTGTATAACAGGTGGTTCAGCTGTTTCGAGGCACTGATGGTACGCTGCAACCAAGTCGCCGCCCGGCTGTCTTGGTCGAGGTGAAAACCAAGAATCCGGATGCTCGTGCGGCGTGAGATGGGAGTACCTGCGAGCGTGAGCTGAATGCACTGTTTTTCTGCTTCTTTTGCTGGTGTGCGACGACCGCCATGAATAACGACGAACTCCGTCTTGTAGGGAGCGGGAGCGAGGCCAACAGACTGGATCCCTACCGAAAATTCCGGTATAACTTTTCGCTATCCGGATTATGGAACCGGAAATCTATCTGGATTCTATCTGGACTCTATCTGGAATTTAGGTTTTCAGAAATTATTCCTTTGTTCTCAATCTGGATTTCGGGTTTCCAGTAACAAATTTCCGGTTTCATATTCCGGATAGGGAAAGTTATACCGGATTTTTCGGCAGGGATGTAGTCGTGAATGATGTCGAGCCCAGCTTGAATGGCATCCTGTTGGTAACCGGGTGAGCCAGAGTGGGTCCACAACGTAATATCGTCGGCGCAGATCGCATGTTCGAGGTTAGGCACCTCACTAAGGCGGGGAGGAAGGCCAGCAAGGACAATATTTGAAAAGTACTGGAGAAAGAACGGACCCTTGTGGAACGCCCACTCGGTTTGAATGGGTGATTCCGTGGGATGAGCCGACGTGAACAGTGAAAGTGCGATCTTCGAGGAACGCCGTGATGAAGTTGTATGCCCGACCGGTGATGCCTAGCTGTTGTGCCATTGAGAGGACGGAGGAGTGCGGGACGCTGTCAAACGCCTTGCGCACGTCGACCCCTGCCACAATACGAAAATGCGGTGATGATGTAGATAGCGTATCGTGCTGGAGGCGGCTCATGACGTCCTGAGTGGAGAGTCCAGGGCGGAACCCGTATTGCGATGGGCTGAGCAGCTGGTTGGACTCAAGCCACCACTGCAGACGGGCGTTCAGCATGCTGTCAACCGTTTTGCAGAGACATGATGTGAGGGATACTGGGCGTAGATTTGTGAGAGACGTAGGTGGTTTGCCGGGCTTCGGAATAGGACATACCGTCGAGTGACGCCACTCGGAAGGGACGCACCCAGAATCCCACACCAGGTTGATCTCCGTCAGTACGGTCTCTTTCAGGGCGGTGGGAAGGTTGCGAAGTTGCCCGACGGTGATGTTGTCAGGGCCTGGTGCGCTGCGTGTGTTTGCCCTATCCGGGGCGGGCTCGAGTTCGTGGAGGGTGAACGGGGAATCCAAGCCGATGGGCTCGGGAACGGGGTGAATACGAGTGTAGCACCCAGGGTCATGCCGAGGTGGTTGTGGAAAGAAGACATCAGACGCTCTTTCCGCTAGCTCCTCGAAAGAAACGCCTTTGCGGAGGGCAACGGCAGCGGCAGGTTGTCTAGGTTTGCGGTCTCCAAGGAGAAAGCGCAGAAGCCTCCATACTTTGGAGAGATTGGTATTGCCGGAAACGGAGCTGCACATGGAGGTCCAGTGGTCAGAAGCCAGTTCCGATGTGTAGCTCGAGATGGTGTCTTGCACCTGGCGCAAAACCCTGAGGAGCTGACGTGGTCTACCAGATCGGCGGTAGCGAGCCAACAGGCGTATGCGGCGGTTCCAAAGGGTGAGTAGATGTGCATCAGGTACCGGAGCGTCCCCAGGAACGGTGAGGCGTTTGGTGGCGGCCTTGTGGGCACACTGGATGGCTTGTATAATGTCTGAGAAACCGCTGACGTCCATGACAGAAACCAGGGCTGCCCGAAACTTGTCCCACTTGGTGATAAAGGTGTCCCGACGGGTGTTGTGAGGAGATGAAGTTGGAGATGGGAAGTGATAATGTAAAGTGATGGGAAGGTGATCGCTGCCGAGGTGATCGCTGGTGACCTGCCACTTCCAGCGTTGAGGGAAGCGAGCCCAGGTCAGGTCGGGGCAAGTGTCTTGTTGCCGGGAGGTTTGGCCGATACGTGTAGGTGTGTCTGGGGTATTCAGGAGGGAAAGTTTGAGTTCGGTAAGGTCCGCAAGGAGCCGTGTACCGCGAGGAAGGTCAACATCGTAACCCCAGGCCGTATGTTTTGCGTTGAAATCACCGCATACTATAATGTCGTCCTTGGGGTAAAGAAGAGAAAAGTGTTTGATGAAGGCGACATTTAGCGGCTGCCTGCTGCGACGATTTAGCGACGTGTCGGGGGTCACGTACACAGAGAAAAGAAGAACAGGTCGGCGAGGAAGGAGGAGCAGTCGGCAACCCGTGACGCTGGTGATGATGGAGCACCACTGTGATGTGTTGAGGGGAGTGAATGGGACTGAGCGATGGACATACAGTGCGGCGCGGATACGAGGCAAGGAGGCACTAGTCTCGGCGTCCGGAGCAAGTCCCTCGTACTGTGACAAAGCCGGAAGTGGGCCGTTGAGTTCTTGTATAGCGAAGGCAGCGGGTGTGTCAGATGGAGAATGAAGATGAAATTTTTCGATAAGGTCTGCTTTTTTGCGTCGGAGCGAGCGACAGTTTTATTGAACAATTGTGGGTGCTCTAGTCATGTTTAGGCGTGAATTGCGCGGGAGGGCCGAATGGAATGATGCCCTGCATAATGAGACGCTCAATGACTGCACGGGTGCAGGTATCCACCAAAGTAGAGATTGACTGCTGCATGGCAGCAAGCTGTTGCAAGGCAGCTTGCGTTTGTTTTGTGAGAAGGGCCATTTGTTGGGTCATGGCCGTTAAGTCGTCTACTGCCGGAATTGGGGCGGGCGTCTTGCGAGCGGTGTTGACAGCCTTCACGGCTTCTGCAAAGGATGTGCGAGGCTGTTCCGATGTAGGGAGCTGCGTGTGGGTGACAAAGGCGCTGAGGGCCGGCACATGGGATTTAGCGGCGAGAATCGGGCGGGAGTCCGTCTTGGGCGTAGTAGTTGTCGATGAGGCTATTGGGATCGTTAGCGCTACTGGCGGCATAGCTGGAAGTGTGAGGGCTGGAGTCGGGGGCACCGATGGTG